TTCGTCTTTCACTAGGAGCTTTCTAGTCCTTACAGCTAACCAGCCAAATTTGGCAAGTTTAGCTGTAACCTTGGGGCACTTAGGTGATTGGCTGCTCTGTTCGCTCTCTGATTGGCCAGCATCAGCTGAGAAAGGAAACAAAACAGCTGATCTGGAGGGGAAAGGCGTCTTTCACCCTTTGGTCTTTCTAACACCTGGATCAGTAGCCAGAGGGTTTGGCTTCTGAGGGAAGAGACATATGGGAGTCAGTGTTTTCTGACAGGCAATAGTCAGAAAAGTACTTCTACAAAGAGAAGAAGAGAAACCCCAGTGTCTTAGATATATATTAAAATTGCTCTGAGGGAGAATTTCAGATTCTCAGGGAAGCTACAGAATAACCTTATACAGACAAAGGATACTGGAGAAGGATTTGGCAGAAGGTCTGGGTAGTTAAACTCCCAGACAAGCCAAATAGAAAAAGGAGTTACTGCTTCTTAGGAACCAGGAGAATAACTCCCTGCTAGTGAAAAATCAGTCAATCCTGAAAGAAATCAACCCTGACTGTTCCCTGGAAGGCCAGATACTGAAGATGAATCTCAAATACTTTGGCCACCAAATGAGAAGGGAGCCCTCACTGGAGAAGACCCTGATGCTGGGGAAGATGGAAGGTAACAGAAGAAGGGGACGGCAAAGGATGAGATGGTTAGACAGTGTCACCGAGACAACAAACATGAAATTAAGCAAACTCCGGAGCACAACAGAAGACAAGAAGGGCCTGACATGATGTGGACCACGGGGTCGCTAAGAGCTGTGCGACTGAACAACAACAACAAAAGTGAAAGAAGTTGGGAAAAGAACCCTGCTCTGTGATAAAGGATACCTCAGGAGTTAGTGAAAAGCTGTATTATGTAAAGGAAAACCTATAATATCTGAAGGAAGAAATCTAGATACATCAGCAAGAACTTACTGCTAAATTGTACTGAACAAAGTACCTCTCAAAGAAAGAAATAGAAAGCCTTGAAACAGAACTACAAATACACTCTCTTGAACATTCTAAGAATTCAGCTCTGTATATATTAGAGTCTTTTACCTCAGCAATCTCAAAACCTTGACTCTTCCTCTTATACATATATTCCCTGCCTGTTTAATAAAATCTTTATTCTGTTTCTGAAAGTTGATTTGCCTCAAGTGCCATTTCTCAAGGCTTTAAAGAAAACTGGACAGCGCCTGTATTTTCAGTAGAGTTCCTGAGCTGAGAAAAAGCCTAAACTAAAAATCTCAAATATAGAGTGGGACAGTCAAGTCTTTTATGACAACATGCTACTGTAGGGCAACTCAAGTCACTGAGGGTGAACGGAAGATTTGGCGGGAAAAATCTGCCAAACAGTTGGGGAGATACAGGGGTTTGTCGTAATTAGGAATGTGCATTCGGTTCGTCTGAACCGAATGCACCCCGAAAATGGCTCATTCGGACCCCTTTCGGGCTGCTGCAGGCCGATTCAGATTCTCTGATCTGAAT